CAAGTAGATTGCTGATTAAGAACACGAGGCATTGCTTTAACATGAAAGGGCTTTAATTAGAGTGCGAAAACGGATGTCATTTGATGCTCGGTGTCGTTTTGTAATACATGTGCCACGCATTTCCTGGTTGCTTTTGTTGTGGCGGTAAGCAAACTGTTTCATTTTTAGGCATGTTACACCTTACTGAAAGTTATTCTTGATTCAGTATCCATCTGAGTGGTATACTTGAAGAAGCAAGTCCCTAATTTAACCCAATGAATTTTGGGCGATGCTTTCCGTTATTGAATTCGCACACTACACACCGCATCTTCTCCACTTGACCTACAATAAATCACAGGCTGAGCTTTCAAAGGTCCGAAACCTCTTTAAGCACAGTTCGTGAGGTAGACTAGCTAGAATCACATTCCTTATACTTAACTGACATTTAGTAATTTTGGAGTTTGGAAAGGGAAAAAGTGGTGCAGAATACAGGGAAGTGTATGGAAGAGTTAATTTGCATTTATGCCTTGTAATGCATCCACACAAAAGATTGCCTATTCTGTAAGAACCTACATCTTGCAACAAATCCTTGCTGAGAGTTATAACACCATTCACGAGATCTCTTTAATCACTTAATGCCTCACCAAAGCACTTCCTAGAATCACAGATAAAATTTGAACTGCAAAGAAATTCTGTGTTTGAAATACTTCACCAGAATATAAAGGAGCTATGTTTTGTAAAAAAGTTTGTTTTTCTTTAACAAAAATACTGGCAAACATGAACTGTCTTACATGAAATTTAATGTCAGATGTGGTGGCTTTTAACGCAATCAAAATATTCTCGCCTATCTAACGTAGAAATTACAACTGTCCTACACAGTTCCTTATTACAAAAATCTTAACACTTTTTTTTCTACTTGTTTCTGATCGGTTTCAGTAAAAAATATTTTAACGCTCTACATGCACTTGCCTTTGAACTCTCAAAGATATCCAAGCCTTTCCTTGAATCACAGCAACATCTCTATTTTCAAATGATTACTTAAATGGATCGTTTTCTCCTCCAAATGAAAGCTAAACTTTCGTGTAGTCCATGAGATCTGTAGGAAAGGCTGTGCACCTTAAGGTACATTTGACTACTCGGGTTCTTGAGTATCCCCTAGCCATACTTCCAGCCTAGTGGGATAGAAATTCAGGTAATGATAACCTAAACTTCTGCAATGGTGTGTCAAAATGATAATTTTTCTGTACAGTAGTATATCGCCGTTATTAACAAAATGTTTAATCCCCACCCAGCTTTATGCATAAAGCATGCGACTCGCAACTCCAAAGTGTCATATGATCCAAGGATGGTTCCTTACAGTCCCATGCATACAGAAGTCATTTACAACAATATTTCACGGTTTGGTCCAATTAGCTGCCCTAACTATGCCTAGTTCCAGCTTACTACGGGGCTCAAATTGCAAGTAATTGCCTACCTTGTGAGTAAATGTATCATTCTTTGACGTGGTGAGTAAAAAAATCTTATTCTGTAAAAAACTGGCTATCGATTGGGATTTTAAACGTTCCATTATTTTGGGATAAAGATGGCAGTATTGCCACTAACTTTCTCTCTATGGTCATAAATTTGGTCTTTCATAAGTAATGGGATTTACAAAACACTGTCTCGTATAGCACATTGAGCGTTCTAACTATACCCCAAATTGACATTTCGTTAGCTGATGATAATTGGGAACAGAAATCGCATTTGGATAAGGAGCGTCTGATAGGCGCATGAATTTCAAATTCGACTCCATTGAATTTGCAAGTTGCGGCGTGTTCTCACGGAGCAGTTTAAGATGGCAATGGAAGTACATGCGAAACAGTGACTTTCTCAGGACACACACTTTTTGTTCCATAAACTACGGAAGCGCCCGTTCCGTTGCTTGAGTTAGTTATTTGGTTCTCAACGTACCGAAAAGTATAGACTAGTTTGCATCGTACTCTATACCGTAGCGATCTAAGAGGTGTAGATGGTACTTCCTTCTCCAAGTGGAAGATGACCGAGAGTAATGTGATATTGTGACATCGAAAAAATGAAGCAACTACCTAAGAACTAAATACAAATACTGGCAAATTTCATAAGCCATCTTAAGAATGCTCTAATTTTATTAATTACTGAAGATATTTTAAACAAAATTGTAGAAAGTGCAACCAAATTGAATAAAATTATCGGAAAGGCATTACGGGAAATAATGATCAATAAGCAGGAATTTCTCGGCAATGATTTGTATTTCCTTAAAAGAATAAAAAACGAACTTTTTTGTTGCAGCGAAATTAGCTACCAGAGCAATTAAGGCTGTATTTGCCAAGATCGACTGCGGAGAAATAAAGGCAAAGCATTTACTGGAAAACCCTAATGATTTGCGGCCTAGCGATGGGACACAGGATTCTTGAGTCTCAGACACTGATGTTTAGATAGTTTAAAAACTAATTGTCTTTACCTTTGACCTCTCCCTTGTCGTCAGGCAAATTTAATCAATTTACAAACACTAAATGCAGGGAGAAATGAAAAATAGAATGTAGACGTTGATCCAACAGCGAATAAAATTATTCAGAGTTTTTATTTGTTCAGTGAGTGCCAGGTGTGAGTCACTTCATAGCAGGAAAATTACACAACCGTAGATCCTGCTAAGCACTATGTAATCTCGAAGGCTTACCTCCCACTGGATTGGATGCAAATGAATCCCCATAATCCAACTTAATTTTTTTCCCACCAAACTGTCGACACGTATAGGTACTTATGCCTAATCCAGCGAGAAGTTCATAGGCTACCTTTTCATCCAGAAACCATCAGTACGAACAATTTTAATAAAAAAGATAGAGAATTATTGCTACTGTAAAACGATGACTTTTAAAAAGCATTCAAGAAAACGAAGTTTGTCCACAGTTTACCTACTCCAAGAGACGTTTTTGCGATTTATTAAATACGATCATTTTATAACAAAGTTGGACGCGTAGTGTTATGGTAGCTTTCATGTCTCAAAAAACCCTTTTATACGCGTTAGAGCGAAATAGGTGTCTCTTAATATACATGGCAAAAAGCACTTGCTAGAAAGATTGTTCTTTATGAAATACTATTCAGACATTTAAATGTTAAGCATCTGAAATACTTGAAAAGGTATGATACGGTTCCATATCTATAAGAAAGAGACAAAAGTGACTAGTACAGCAGTAAAGTTGACAAAAATTCTATAAAGATACAGTTAGACGAAATCATTTACAATTTGTGCTCGATAAAAATGAAAATAAGGCGTTTGGAATTCTAGTAAATAAATATAGTTTCTTCATACCGAAATCAAACTAGCCGCACTTGATTACATAAGTGCAGCAGGTAACCAACTATAACCATCGACATAAGGCTTATGAAATTCAAATATGTACGATTGGTTAAAATGGCTGAATCGGTAAACAATAGCAGAACAGCTCATAATCACAAGATTTTTGGGCGAGTGCACTTATGCTAATGTTTATAAAAGGAGGTAAAAGTCGAAAAAGCAACAACAAGGACACAGATTTATTACCAGAAACCTTGCAAGTATTCTCTAATTTCTATTGCCTTCATCAATTAAAAATCGAACCTTAGTAGGCTGCGCGTATTTTGCAGTCAAAGCGCAGTGAACTTCAATCGAGATTGATTAAAATATGGCAACAACGGATCATAAGCATAATATCAGAACTTTATCGCATTACTTTTTTCACCAACTCAGCCACCTCTGGGGACGCATAGATTAATGAAAAACAATAAATAACCAACTTACTTCAGACCCATATGGTGTGCACAGTGTGATCCTCAAGCAATTTCCAAGAATCGTAGAACGAAGGTAAATATCTATTCATAAATAAACTGGTCCAGGGCAAAGTCCATCTTACCTGCGAATTCCAATATATTTTGAAATCAACACAGCGGTAGACTGTGGCCATGATGTGTTTTAACAAAATAAAATTTTGAAATCAATAAGACGGCCAATAAGAATCTAGAATCATTTGCTAAATTAGAATCATTTTATTTTTAGAGAAAATTTTAAAAGATGCCAGGTAATTTAGTAGACAAGACCTATCACTTTACCGCAGCTGCATTATAATTAACAAAATACAAGCGGAAGCTCTAGCACGGTAAAGTAATTTTTACCATTTTGCAAGAAAATGTGTAGTTTTTGTAACAACTATTGTTAAGTGCAGGACTGGGTTAAATGGACATATTACTGGGACACTAGGCCATTTTCCAAGCGTTTTAGCTGCATACTAATTATTTTGTCCCTAGTGGATGGTAAGGAACCCTAGATTCTTATCATTTCAAGTTTGCGCCGACACCATTTAATTTTGTCCTTCTCTTCGGTCATAGGTGTTGAGCCCCTTTATCAATAACGTTGCGCTGTCAAACAGCACTCATGGCCGGAGTAAAGAGGCAGAGATCATAAATGTAATACGATAGTGGTTTATCCCTCGGTTCTGGTGAGGCGCCACTTTTGTACTTTGAATTAGCCCCCTTGTACCTCGCTGGGTGGGCTGGCCTTTCGGGCCATGCCAATAGCCCAGACACCTTCTATGCACTGAATACATATTCTGCCCGAGTATTGTGTCTTCTTTCGTCTTCTGGGAGTCTCGGGACGCTACATTGGTGGCAGCGGAAAGCAAACCCGATCCCAAAGGACATGCATCCTGATTTTCCACTTCTGCGTGATAAGCCTTAGGGGAGCGGAAGAAGTACATATGCTACGGATGGGAGAATGGTGATGACTCCTAACAGAAGGGTTGATGTTGACGTCTACCTTTGGCATCTCGCCCAGTCTCGTGTTCTGCAGAAAAGCTATTAGCAACTGAAGCGACACTAGCCGTGAAACATCTGGAAGTTTCGTTACGGATTTTCCCTACCGTCCCTCATGAACCTATTTTAAATCTTGTACTTCCTTACTCAGATCTGCTTTTAGGCCAGTGTTCCTGCATCTATCTATGGACACGCATGGTGGCCAA